ATTAGTGAATTGGTAAAGGTTTAGTACATGTCTAACGCGGTGTACCCAATTCCATGCTACAACTGTTCACAAATTTATGTTATATCTTTTTTCCGGGCAGAGTTCGGAAAAGATTGGACAAGTGCTTTGCGTCTACACAATGGCTCCAATGTTTCTAGAGGCAAATGTCCTCAATAGATACTCAAGGCATTTGGATCATGCTATGCTAATTCTAAAAACCCAATCCAGAAAGCTTAAATGCTATACTCATTTCCATTTTCAACTTATGTGGATAGATCAAAGTTTTAAAAACTGACCCGGAAATGGAAATGTTTTGACCTCCGATTTCTGGGTCAGAGGTTCAGATTTGAACATGTCAAACCGGTAAGATTTAAAATAATGCAATGAGGGGGGGCGTGAGATTTTGAGAAGGGTAACTGGTTAAAACTGAAGAAGAAGAAGAAGAAGAAGAAGAAGGAGGAAGAGGAGGAAGCACCAGCGGCACACCGTGTTCACTGTTCATAGTTGCAGAACTGTTTGCCTGAGGAGGAGGAGGAGGAGGAAGTGCCACCAGCACACCATGTTCATGATCACCACCACTGCAACACTGTTTACCCTCTTAGATCTCTCTCATCTCTCTAAGTCTCTCTTAGATCCCTAATCCTGTTTGCTTCATGTATCTCAGATTTCAAATCTCAAATGATTAGTGTCTTATCTCTCATCTCTTACATCGATTGATTTTCTGATCTCTTCATTTATAGGATTTGCAATTTCTTAGTTGTTTACAACCTAGAAAACTCAAAATCAAAATAGAAAAAATAAAAGCCCTAACTACTTTTGACCATTAGGAATAATCGAAGAAGATTATGAAAGGTCTTTTGCTTTTTTTTATTTTAAAATAAATAAAAATGGAATTAATTTGAAAGAAACCCAAAAGCCAATAACCGGGTCAAATGGTTTAGAGATTAAACCATCCAAGTCAACGGTTCTCTGACCATTTCAATAGTTTTTTGAAAAAAAAGGAGTAATAGCATATAAGGGCAACTTTTGGGGTTTAATATCAATAAAAGTAATATTTAAAAAAAATCAAAAATAGGTTAACTTTTTAAAAATAATATCAATAAAGGGCAAAACACTGTTCATCATCTTCTTCTTGCCATTTGTTTAGTAGCGTCATTGCCTCCGCCTCCAGCAACGTTGCCGGAGGTGGTGGCGGCGGCGCTAGTGAACAAATGGCAAGAAGATGATGAACAGTGTTTTTTCCCTTTATTGATATTATTTTTAAAAAGTTAACCTATTTTTGAAATTTTTTTAAAAATATTACTTTTATTGATATTAAACCCCAAAAGTTGCCCTTATATGCTATTATCTCAAAAAAAAAAAAAAAAGGTTTAGAGCCAAAACGGAACTAGTGACCTGACTGGTTCCTGGCCAAATAGTTCAACCGTCCAATCCGATCCAATTTTCAAAACAGTGGGATAGATAATCCAGAGTGTGCACACATTATAAAAGAAGAATGGGAGAGATCATTGGAAAGTGATGTAACAAGAAGAATAATACAAAAACTTACAAGATGAAAGCTTAACCTTAAAGGCTAGAATAGATAATGTTGCAGGTTTATTAATGCAAAGCTTTGTCACATAGATGCTGAGTTAAATATCTTGCAAAAGAAACATCCACATCTACATTCCCATGATTTCCATGCCTTGCAAAATGAGTATTATACATGGCTCCTGAAGGAAGAGCAATTATGGAAGTTAAAGTCTTGAGAAATTTGATTAAAAGAGGGTGATAGAAACACACAATTTTTCATTAGTGGAGAAAAATTAACTACTATGAGGGTGTGAAGGATCAAACTAATCAGTTTCTAACCATAGAGGAAATCCCAAATGATTTTTAGGAAATGGCAAAATAAGTTGCAGGGGAAGAAAATTGTGAGGGTGATATAAACCTAGTAGAAATAAATCTTCCACAGTTAACTGAAGCCCAAAAAGGGGATCTACTAACTGTTCCTTCTTTTGAAGAAGTATGGCAGGTGGTTAAACACATGAATCCTCATACATCCCCAAGACTTGATGAATTCAACCCATTTTTTTACCAAAAGTTCTGGAATATAGTGGGAAGGGAGGTCTATAAATTGGTCCTGCACCTTTACAAGAAGGGTCATATCCCATGGGAAAAATCAATTGAACAAAATTGTTCTATATCCCTAAGAAACAAAATCCTAAAGAATTAGTCATTTTAACCCATCAGCTATTGTAATATCTTATACAAGATAATTGCTAAAGCTCAATTTGGGAAGAGTACAAATACAAATATGTACACTACAGATGCATACAAAATAATACAAAATATAAGGTTTTGCACTCTATATATTTGTATTTGTATTCCTTCCAAACTGAGCCTAAGTGTCTAGTCACCCAACTTGAAGATAAATTGAAGGATCTAGTATCTCAAAATCAGGCAGCTTCTATCAAGGAAAGGCCATGCCTAATTGACATCATCATAGCCTGAGAGCTCATTGGAAAGATCAAAAAACACAAAAGAGGGGTAGGTTGGGTGGCGATAAAATTAGACATGTCTAGAGCCTATCATAGGATGAATAGAAATTTTCTTTTATAAGTTCTCCACAAAATGGGTTTCCTTCAACGTTGGTGCAATGTGATTAAATGTTGTATAAGCACCCTAAGCTTTTGAGTTAAAGTTAATGGGGTCCTTTTTAAGTTGTTTCACCTCAAGAACAGTACAAGGGAATGTGATCCTTTATAACCATACATATTCATGCTAGCAATACAAGTGTGATCTTCACTCCTACATGTTAAAGAGGTGAAAGGATTCATAAAAGGAATTAGTTTGGCAAAGAATATCCCCAAATAACACACTTTCTTTGTAGATGACTTCATTATTCTGCAAAGCATGAAAGTGATATAGGATGATGAACCTTCTTATCATCTGTTTTTTACTTGCCCTTTCATCTTCCAAGGCATGAAAGTGAAGAGTTTATACATAGAGCTGTTATTGCTTTCCGAGTGATATAGGATATGAGAAATAGGAAATTGAACCCTAAGAACCCTAAGAAGAAGAAATAGCCTCGTTAGCCAGCCAGTTCACAGCTTGATTTGCCTTGCGATAAGAAAATAGACACAAGGAGGCCACACCTTCCTTCTAATAAGTCACAACATTTCCCGCCTATAGAAATACAGCAACATTGTTTATATGTGGATGATTCGTATATTCATTTCATAAATAGAGCTGCTAGTTCATGTGTTAATTAGGTTGCATTTGGAAACAATGCAAATAAGTGTGAATGCAAATACTTAGAGTGTAAAATGGTTCATATAAATTGCAAAATTGGGTTAGTTTTGAACTGACAAATTTATTTTCTTACCAAGCAGACTTTTAGCTGTAATGGATGCAAACATGAATTCCAATGAAACATATGCTTTTTTTATCAAAAGCCCACTTGAATGCAAATTTACTTCTTTTTTATTGATGTACTTTTACATCTTATTATCAATGTAAATATGCATTGGTCTGTCATTTGTCAATGCATAAATGTAATATTGCCAAACACAAACAAAAATGAATCAGAGTGCAAATTTACCCTGAACCGGGATTTATACTCCATTTGCATTGTTTCCAAGCACAGCCTTAAGGATGAATATAGGATAGTAGTACAACGGGCATCAAGGTTACAGCTCAACAACCAGCTGAAGTTGAATGGAAGACAGTCATTTGGAGCTACAGGAAGCTAAGAGGAGAAAGAATCAAAAGCTTACAGTTCTTTGTGATGACTTGGTCATTGTACATACTATAAATAGTAATGAACAGACATGCAAATAGATCAACAAGCTGTATAGGGATCAAGTGGCAAGCCTACTGTGTAAATAGAAAATATAATGACATAGCTAGAAGGATTGCATGTATCACTTTTCAAGTCATTAATATAAGGCCCCATTTGGTTTGCAGGAATCTGTCTGGAATCGGAATTGGAATGAGCTATTTCGTTTTCAACTATTTGGTTGGGCAGAATCGGAATCTCATTGTCATTCTAAGGGAATAGTTATTCCCTGCCCCTCCCTTGGGAATGAAATCTTATTTCTGCTGATTTTAATTTTCATTCTCATTCCTATCTAAACCAAACAAACTATGAGAATAGACCATTCTAATTCCGATTCCTGCTACGAACCAAACAGATCCTAAGTTTTCTTTCTGTTGGAGGAAAAAAAAAAAGTAGAACTGTAAATAGACTCCATGGTAAATCCCCTCTTCAACTGTATTGGCCAATGAAGGGGAGAAGAAGACAAGAGAAACTCTTTCACCTGAAGCAACATTGGGATTGCTTAACTAAACAGGTCAAAAAGGAAGGAATAGGTCTGTTAGTCATGTCATGTAGACAAGTCTAAGAGACCCAGCCCTTTAATTTCCAGGTTGTAACTTTAGTTGGGGGGCCCCAAACAAAACCTTGCCACGTTTTAGAATAAGTTCATTTTGTGTGCTTTCTTAACAAGACAGCTTGGACGACCACTATTGGTAAATCATATTGGGAGAAAGAATCCAAATCCAATACATTGGAGAAGTAAGCTAAGCGATTGGGCAATCCAGAGGGAATGGTTTAATTGAACTTTGGATTCTCTGCATTTGCATCATCAATTTGCAGAGACAGGTGGCAGCTGCAGGTGCAGTTGTATGGATCAGATGTAGATTGCCAGCTTGGCCTTATTTAATTTATTACAAGCAGGAGAGCAAAATTTACCACCAACCCACTTCTACCTTTTGGTTCTCTCATTCAATTACATGAATTCCCCTTGGATCCCATTATTCCCAAACCCTTTGTTTATCCTTTTTTCCCATGCAAATCGCCCACTGCTTTCAGTTTCAGCCTGCTACATTAAAAATGCTTATTCAAGGAAAGGACAGACCCTATTTGTTTTTTAATACCTGCTCTCTCTCTCTCTCTCTCTCTCTCATATATATTTCTTTAACTTTTTTTCTGCAATAATCAATCACTGTGTGATAGTCGTCCATGACTAGTGATTGGTAAATGAAGGAAGAAGGAAGTGCAGGGAAAGAGTTTAGGAAATCCCGAGTTCCACTTGATTGTCACCCCTCCTTCCAGCCACCTTCCAATTGGCCGAATACAGACCCAACATTCGCTTTCTTTATTCACGTCACAACTAAGTCTACTCTTTCCCTACCCACCCGCTTCTTATTCTATAAATCCTTCACATCACAACTAAGTCTACTCCCCTACCAGCTTGTTTCTTTTATAGATCCTTCCCTCAGTACCCAACACTCCCCTAAACTTTCTCTCTCTCTCTCTCTCTCTGTGTGTGTGTGAATTCAGTTCTTCTCAGGAATAATCAAGGATACACCAAATTAACCAATATAATGGATTCATCTTCAACCTCAATTTCCCCAGCTAAGCTTCGATCTGATCTCTATTCCTTCGCATACCAAGACGAGTCCAACAGCCCACTGGTGATTTCGGTTCTTGCTTCCCTCATGGATAGAACCATGACGAGAAACGAAAGAATTACAGGAAAATGTAACTGGGTGTTGTCCAAAGATTCCAGAATCCGTGTTTTCGATTGCCATCAGGTACCAGACATGACAGTTCAGTCTTTTCTCGAGAGAATCTTCCGCTACACTCGCGTTGGACCGCCGGTTTATGTCGTCGCATATGTTTACATCGATAGACTGTGCCAAATGCATCCCCAGTTTCGAATCACACCCAGCAATGTACACAGGCTTCTCATTACAACCATCATGGTGGCTTCTAAATTCATCGAGGACATGTATAATTTCTTCTGTTTTCCTCCTTTAACAATCTTTCTCATTTTTTGATGAATTGGGTCTGAAACGGAACTCATCATATTTCATGTTCTGTGCAGGAACTACAGGAACTCTTACTTCGCAAAAGTTGGAGGACTGACGACCAGAGAGATGAACAAATTAGAGATGGATTTTCTCTTCTTGATGGGTTTTAAGCTGCACGTAAACGTGAGTGTGTTCGAGAGCTACTGTTGTCATCTGGAGAGAGAAGTGAGCATAGGAGGAGGATACCACATAGAGAGGACTCTGAGGCTTATGTGTTGTGGTGAAATCAAGGCCAAGCATAGAGAGGAAGATGGCTTCAACAATCAGCTTGGCCGTGTTATCGGATGTGGTTCACATTAATTCATTTGAACGCGCTTGTGTCCTAACATTATACGTTCTCTGTATATAGACTAATTATTAAGAGTTGTTGGTGTATGAACTTCATTGGAAGTTCATGTGCAGTCGGTCGATCTGCTTGGTTAGAACTTAATTATAATAAGTGTAAGACGCCATACTTAAAAGAATTTAGTCCGTGTCCCATGGCTGCTGTTTGTGCGTGATGGAATCATGAAAACTTTTCAGAGTTTTCACAGAGAGAGAGAGGGTTACGATGTGACTGTGACCGACAAACTGACAGGGGGATTGGTGATTACGCATGGGATGATGGGAATAAGTGTTTGATTATTAGTAAGTAACACAATAATCAAGATACTCCTGTTAGGTTATTAAGATCCGTCCCTGAATAAGTTTTTATTCTTTAACACACCCATTCATTCAAAAATACCATTAGAAAGGTGTGGAGGCAAGGTTAATTCAAAGTATGGATACGTATTAACTCGTATTAATCCATATGTATCATGTTGATGGCTTTCTGATATGTTCTTTCAAGAGTTATATCAAGTCAGGCCATACTTTAAAGGATAGTGGGGACTTAAAGCAATCCCTCTGAATCAGTTTTGAGAAATAAATAAATAAAACATAAAAAAAGTATTGATACAGATCGATACACCTGTATCGATACTTTAAACCTTGGGTGGAGGAATACAGGTCCATTCAGGAATTTAATTAATTGTAGTGGAGAAGATAAGGATAGAACATTAGATCACTTATCATACTGAAGAACCATTTAAGTTAAAATTTTAAACTGGTAGGTGAGGTCTCTCTAAATAGATTTTTATACTCTAACGTAGGTTGTATGTAGTCATTTTACAATTGTCTTTCTATGGACACATTCAAGTTTCTGTGTAGAATCTATATATAGGATTTAATCTCCAATTTTATTATGAAAAGGGTTCATTTGGCCAATTAATCATAATCATCAAGAAGATCGATCTCGTATGTAGTGCCCCTCAACACAAAATTGACCATATCATGCAAATTTTAGGAGCTTAAATCTATCCCAGGAGTTTAATTAATGTTGCCACCTGGTACCTGCCTTACCAAAAGAAGGTGATTTTCCTTGGTTGGCTGACAAGAGAAAAGAAAAATAAAAGAGTAAAAAAAGTTACATATAATAGTACTAAAACCGATGATAGTACCCCCACAAGGAGGCGCCCCACAACGTTTTACAGCACATCCCTGTCATGTATTGGGAACATCTCCCGATGATAGTACTAAAACCGATGATGTCATCATTGGAAAATGTTCTCATGCAGACGGGGATGTGCTGTGGAACATTGCGGGGCACAGATCTGAACTCGATACCCTCTAATACCTATAAAATTTAAAAAAAAAGTAAAAAAGTTAAAATAAAAACAAAAAATATTGATCATATTGATACACACTAATACCCACTTAAGAGTATCAGATATATCTATTTTTATCTTTGCTCCCAAGTTACGTTTTGTGGCATCCAGTTCATGTATAACAGTCCATTTACATTCACCCTCCAACAAATAGAGAAAACAGAGGAAAATAGCCTGGAGCGAGAGGAAAAAAAAGTTGTGTTTGGAGCAGTTGGAAGCCAATTCTTATTCTAGGCTCAAAACTCATTTAAACCTAAGAAAAAAAACTCAAAAAAGTGAATTATTTTTATTGCTCAAAATTCATTCTTTAAATAGTGATTATTAGAAGCAGAATTTTAACTAAACATGGCCAGAAGGCCCAGAACTGCCACACTATCTCCTAAAAGAGAACTTTGTTTTATTTTTCCAATCTTTTTTTTTTAATTTTTCTTTCATTTTCTTTACAACCAGGATGGGTGTAAGAATTCAGCCAAAGTTTACGTATGAATTTGAGAAAATCAAGTATCCTCTACTCAGGTTGTGTATGTTTCATTATGTTCTACAATTCAACCTTGTTTCCAGCTATATAGAGGGATAAAGTCAAGTGGCCAATTCAGTTTTGATGATTTTAATTTCTTAATAATTTCCATCATCCAGACCATGAAGTAGTGAAATTACATATATATATATATATATATGGTTGAGAGTTGAGACTACTTAAGATCAAGATCATCATGGGTATTACCATGGGTATGGATATGGATATGATAATTTTTTTTCCCTTTTTATTCTTATTTTAATTTGGTAAGTGAACAATCAACTCCTCATAGTCATACATATGAGGATGTGTTCATCTTAATCTGGTACACGAGGCTGAAAACAAGAACTGGAGACTGATTATAATTAATTAACAAGGGCTTATGCCTTAATACATTATTAATTATGAAGATTAATTAAACCAAGGTTTTATTCATCAATCATTCAAAGGGTGCCATGAAACATGGAAACATCTTTTTCAGAGTTGTAAGGACTAAGGGGTGTTATTCCTTTTCCGGTAGGGTGTGTGAACCCTGAACGGTACCCCCTTCGCTGCATCACTGCACGGGTCGCGTGGGATGTCTATCTCCTACCAGCAAAATCAAAATAAATATAAAGTATCAACCAGCTTTCTCCAACCAAAGATGGGAGGGAGAGAGAATAAAAATGCTAGGGTACTCATTAGTTGACAATTGTGCAGGGACAGTCACCTAACCTTGAATGTTTGTTAATTTAAAGGCAACCGGCCGGCCTCTCCCCCACTAAATGAGAAGTTTCATTTGTTATATAATCAGAGGAGATGCGATTCAGTCTTCACAAAACGTCACAGCCACTTTAGCTCTGCATTGGGAATATCTTTCCATGAATAAAAGCATATAAGTATGAAAATATTTTCAACGGTTGCAAGTAGGGGTGTTGATATTAAATGTTAAACCGATCAAATTGGCCGACCCAATCCGAGTTTATCAGTTCTTTAAAACCATCGGTTGGTTCCAACTTGTGTGAGAAAATAAATTGATAACTTAGTTCGGTTTTCGGTTTTTATACATGATAACTGAAATCGAACCGACCCTATATGTTTTAAGTAATTACTAAATAGTCCCTACTCAACCCTACTCCCAGTCATAATTAATTTTAAATTTAAATAAAGTTATTTATTAACTTTTTGGGTTTAGCAAGCATTGACGTGAAGGATCTTGTAAATTGGAATGGACATACAAGTTGGATTGTTGGAGTCTTCACTCCTCAATTTTGGAAAGAAAAAAAAGAGAGGTTAAATAAAGTTTTTTATTACCTTATCAGTTTATTTATTACCTTTTTGGGTTTATCAAGCATTGTTGTCAAGGACTCTTGGAAATTGGAATGGAGAGACAACTGTTGGAGTCTTCACTCTTTGGTTTTGAAAAGAGAAAAAAAAGATATACTAAATAAACCGACTAAACCGATAAACCAACCCTTCATGTTTGGGTCGGTTTTGCTTCAAGGTCGGTCGGTTTTGGTTTAGTCAATAAATAAACCAACTAGGTTGGGTCGATTGAAGAAAATTACTCAAACTGACCCAACCCGACTAGTGAACACCCCTAGTTGCAAGTGGTTGTGAGGATGGTATGAACATCGTTTTGTGAGGATTGAATCCAAGTTCTAATCAAAGAGCCCATTTTGCCATGGAAATGGGACGAATTTGGGTCAATAACCATACTCCCCGTTCCTGACCTCAAATTTTTTGACTTTACAAATTAGGGGAAATTTCACTTTAGTATCCTGAACTTTGGGGGTAGTGTCAAGTTAGTACTCGAACTTTCAAACGTGTCATTGCAATACCTAAACTTTCATAAAGTGTCAAGTTGGTCCCTACCGTTAACCGGCCGTCAGTTATTTGTTGAAAATGTCAAAACTACCCTTCAAAAGAAACTGTTCATTATCTTCTACTTTGAGATTGAACCAATTATCTTCAAAGAAAAAGAGAGAAAAAACATGAAATATGATTAAGGGAAACAATAACTGAAAGCAAAGAAATAACTAGACAAGAATGTGTTTTAGATCTAAAGGTAGAAGATAATGACTTCATTAGTCTAGAATCTCAAACACCTCAACCGGTTCAGTCTCAAGGTAGAAGAGAATGAATAATGTCTTCTTTTGAAGTGTAGTTTTAACATTTTAAATAGATAACTACGATCGATTAACAGTAGAGATCAACTTGACACTTTTCGAAAGTTTAAATAATGCAGTGACACATTTGAAAGTTCCAATAATAACTTGACACTACCCCCAAAGTTCAAGGTACTAAAGTGAAAATTTTCCTTTTACAAATTCTACAACAGTGTTTCCCATCAGCGAGAAACCAACTTTCATCTCTAACTCCAATGGGAGATGGGTTCCCAGCCCATTGGGGATTTGATCATTTGAATCCCTGAATTTTATTTTTTAATTAAAAGTTTGTTTTACCTTGAGAAAAAAGATTTTCTTAAAGGAAAAAAAAATATTATTATAAATGAGTTTAATATTTAACTAACATTATTAATCACCAAGTATACATAGATATGGACTTCCATCCCACCCTAACCCCAAATCCAATCGGGTATCTTTCTCCATACCACAAGAACTGTCTCCATTTTGAGGGGCCACCAATCAAATGGGGACAAGAAAATTTGCCATATATCCCTAAATTCATCAATCACGTTTTAATTAGTTTATATTTTATTCACAAATGAGAAAAAAAAAGGTTTATCTTTTAGTGAATGAATTTGAAGTTCTACTAACCTGCTCAAACAAAAAGCCCAAGAGGTGAGAGGTCCAGCATAAGGAATATAGACAAGGCCTGAGGGAAGCTACACCAACACGTTTGTCAAACCTTTGTTTTTGGTTAATGTTTGGTGACAGATGATCCATGATGTCCCCCACCAGCACCAAGAAGAGATGCTTTTGCAAATGTAGGGCAGGTTCCATTGTCGCATCATTAAATTGGGCCCACTGTGGGGCTCCCCAAACTTCCAATACTTCAATCCTCTCCGTCCGATTGCCAGATTGGACCCAAACCAAGGAGTGGATCAATGAGATTCCTTCTTTTATCTGCACTATATAATATAATGCGGATGCTTTGCTTTGGCCTCACGTCAAGACGATCATCCCAGTTTTTTTTTTTTTTTATTCATCAGACGGCGGAGAATACAGATTATGGTAAATTTGGCACGTTGTATAG